TTTATTTTATTTAATTTTTTAAACTTTTTTTATTTAAAATGTACACCCAGGCCAATCAAGATCTCAATGCTACCTGCACTCAACGTTTATCAAGTGTAACTAGAATTTCTCAAAAGTTATTGGGCGATTAAGATATGGTTACTATGTATTTGAGAATTGATTTTATTTTGAGATGATCACCAATGCATATCTTAATATTTAGAGAGTGTTTGGACTAATTGTTTCAATGTAGTTAATAATTGATAATTTATATTCAACCATTGATAATTATTGTTATTTATAATTAAAAGTATATAATTTGTTAAATTTATAATTAAAAATATATGTGTGTTAACGATTTAAATAATTTAGTAGTTATCTCCTTTCACTGAAAATAAAAAATTCTCAATTCGAGTGGCATGATATGTGAATGGAATGATATAAAAAATGAAAGATGGTTATCTCATATTATACAATTAAGATAAAAAAAATAATTAAAAGTATGTAATATGTTAAATTAGAATTAATAGTTTTGGTTACGGTCTAAACTCTAAACCAAATGCCCACATAGTTTCATTTAAAATTTTTAATTTCAAATATTAATTCCCTCACATTTTTTCCAATTGATACAAAAAATTTAGGTATCATAAAGTTAATGATATGTTTGATATAATGAAAACAAATGAAAAAAAAGGGGAAAAATGAATTTTTTAATTAATTAAATTACAACTTTAACCAGCCTTATAATTTAATTGATAGAAAAAAAAAAAAGCCCCGCTCCTCTCTTATCTGCTCTTCAAACAAAATATATATTCTAGAGAGAGGGAAGAAACTTGCTTCTTGCTATAAAAAAATACTAAATAATTTTGTTCTATCAGTTGCATATATATATATATATATATGAATCATAATCAACTTATACGTGTAAATTGTGCTCAATTTCTAAAACATTCGTGTCAAATTTCATACAATTGATGTGGCATTTACATTATTATATGCCCATTGATATAGATATTTTTTAATTTAATATAATTCATAACATATTTATTAATAAATTATTATTTTTAAATTTAAATTAAAAATAAAAAGTTTAAAATTTTAAATTTTAATATGGCTGAATCAGTTGTTATTAATAACTGTATTAAATTAAATGGTGTAACAATAATTTTTTTATTATATTTATCTTTGAATTTTGAAATAAAATGAATAGAAATTTGTTTAAAACTTAGGTACACAGAAGTTGTTCCTAATTATATATCCTAGGAACCTATTTATATCTGTTTAAGTTTCCGTAAACGGTAAATTACTAATTTCACAAATCTAATAATTGAGATTATGCGATTTTAATTTTGGATTGGTAGCCTCGTGATGATCTCTTCTTCCAAGATTTGATTGTTCTTGATTTGATTCTTTAACTTTTGGGGGGTAATAACTAATAAGAGTGGGGAGAAGAGAGAGAAAGAAAAGGAAGAGAAAAAGAGAAACGAAGATGAAGAACAAAATTACATCTTTAGAAAAAAAAAAAAAGTATTTTACATTTTTTAAAATATTTTTTAAAAATAATAATTAAATTAAAAATTTTATTTATATAAATTATATATATTAAATTTTAAATTATTCTAATTAACTTAACTACTTTATCGATAATAAAAAATTTAATATTCATGAGCAGATAAATGAGTTGACAGATTGCTGTTCAAAAAAAAAAATGAGTTGACATATAACTCTTCTAGTTTAACTAAAAATCTTAATTTTAAGTCTTGAAAATGCAGTTTCATTAAAACTCGTGAGAGAGAGTTTTGTCACATATTGAATCCTACCAGACTTTAATCCGAATTAGTCGATGACTCTGTAAGCCTCCGAATATCGGATGGTTCATACCAAAAAAAATAAAATATTTAATATTGTTAAATATATTTTAGCAAATAAAGTTTTTTTAATAAAAGAATTATAAGTGTTAGGTCAATATAAAAATTAATAAATATGATCTATATAAATAAAATTTTCAATATAGCCATTAGTTTTTAAAAATATTAATTAAAAAGTAAGTTTTTAGACAAGTTTTTCAAAAAAAAAAAAATTAGAAGGATGACTTAACCTACACCATTCTCTTTTCTTTAACCTCCGTATACTTGTAATTTGATTCCTTTGAAATAAATTTTTTATATTTTAATTATGCTCTTTGGTCCAATTTAATTGTCCTAGTCTGATTGTTACGTTAAATTAGACTAGATGTTTTATATAGCAAATAAAGGGCAATTGGTAAAATTTTAGAAA